AGAGGGCTTGGGAAGGCTGCCAAGGATGCTGGGGTCCCACTTTCCCATCCCCACTCTTTGGGCACCACAAAGTGCCTGGGGGCAGACACTGACCACGGACAGCTGGACCCCATGCTATGCCCTCGAGGGCTCAGGCCTGAAGGTCCAGGATGCTGGGGTCTGGCTTCCCAGCAGCACCATCCCCTCCAGTCCCAGGCAGCCAGTCCCTCTTCCCCTCCGATGGTTTAGTGAAGGGGCTCCTTCGTGGAAATGAACTGGGTTGAGTCTTGGCACCCCTCCAAGAATTCATGTTCTCCTCCCTGTGTGATGGTGACTTTGCACGTCCCACTGGCCATCCTGGTCTCTTCACAACAGTCCCACGAGGCTGCGAAGTCAGGGGTGATGGTGACATGGGAAGCCTGCTGGCTTTGAGTCAGGGCCAGGCTCGGGTCGGTCCTCCCACGAGTCTGCCAGAACCTCAGGCAGTAGATCAGCGTCTCCACTGGAGGCGCTCAGGGAGGCACGGGGTGACGCTGAGATGCAAAACTAATTCAGAGAGTGGCCATCTGCTTCTGGCAAGTGAGATGCATCTCATCTAAGTTCCTATATAAAAGCATTTACATAAGCAGTAGACTTAAATAAAATGCTAAACAAGAGACTAGGCTGTATGGAGATATGGTGAAAATCACGAGGGAAGTCTTGGGAAGAATGTTGGGGAAACACCGAGGGAGAAACAACCTCTCAGCTCCCAAGTTCCGAGTCCATCGAGTGGGGATAACTCCTGCCAGCCTCCTGGGGTCACTGTGGTCAGACCTGGCCGTGGACGGGGAGGGCAAGTGCTACTGCCCGCGTGGGAGGGGTTATCATTTTATAGACTCAGACCCGAAGCACAAAAGGTTGGTGAATCTGCCCAGAGTCGTGTGGCTGAGGTCAGCCCGACCCTGGCCGGGTCTCAGACCACACACAGCCGGTGGCTCCTCGCGATCCCAGGAGGATGCCTGGCAGCGTCCAGCTCTGATACAGGGGGGGAGCCCGGGCTGTAGTGAGAGACACTAAAGTTTGACATGAAGACAAATTTCAGAAGGAAACACGCGAAGGCTCAGGAGGGGCTGGGAGTGGGAGATGGACCGTGAGGTGGGTGGATGGATGGTAGGAGCATGGGGAGACGTTTTGTGGCCTTTCTCAGAAAGGCTTCTAACCACCGTCTCTGGGATGTGAGAGAAAGAGCTGTTCTCAGCAGAGCAGAGGCGGCTGGTCACTGTTCCCACTCACACTGAGCTCGGTGTGCTTTGGTCCCTGTTCCGAGGAAGGACCTGAGGCCTGGGCGGCCAGAGAGGAACTCCGCCCTCCAGCCTGGAGATCCGGACTGAGCGCGCATAGTTTCCAGCTTGGGGTCTCCTCTTAGGTGGCCCCCTCCTTTGCCCCCACCCCACCCTCTCTCCTCCCTCTTCTGTTCCCGAGGCAAGAGAAGCCCTGGAACCCGAGAAGGTCCCACGCTCTGGACAAGACAGCAGCTTGCCCCTGGCTCTCCTCCTGGGGTGACATCATTCCCCTCGGGGTTGGGAAAGGCAGCTGCCTCTCAGTCAAGACCCAGCTGATGCTCCTGCCTCCGTTTCCCACACTCGGGCTTCCTTCTCCCGTTCGCCCCCTTCCATGTCAGCGCCCCACAGCTGGCCGACCGAGCCCCCCGGCGACGGGCAGGAGGACGCCGGGCTTCCCCTGCCTTCCCCTCTCCGTCCGCTGTGTGGGGCGGGGGCCGAAGAGGGACAGCACGAGAGAGGTTTCTGCCGGGTCAGACCAGGTGGAGACGGAATCCGGTCATTGCTCTGCGTTAAGGTTCACGGAGGAAGAAATGTCCTGGAAGTTCTTGAGAAGCCTTAAATTAAGAGAACAGCCCCAGTTCACCCCTAGGCCGCTCATGATCGCGAGCTACCTCACCTGATCGCTTCGGGCTGTACGGGGCACGAAGTCTCATTCACATTTTAGAGAATGGAGAAACTGAAAGACGGAATTTAAATAACCTGCTGGATCACACCGCTCTTACCTGGGAGAGGTGGGGTTTGGGCCTGTTCCACTTGTCTGCAGAACCCAAGATCACAGGCAACACAGAATAGCCTTTCCCATAGGGGTGTCCTTTCGGCTCTTGTTTATTAAATGGGGCCTCTGTTTCATGCGCAGCGCTGAGTGTGTACATACCCACACGTTCATTCTCGCTGGAAAACGGCACAGAATGTCAGCATTATTTCTTAAGGATTTTTCCACACTGGAAGAGATTGAATGGGGTCATTTCATTCCTCCCACTGCCTCCGACTGGACTGCGTTCAGCCTCTGGAGGAAGCCTGCAAGCTCACACTCCTTGCCTCTCGGCGCAGAGACCCTGAGGTCTGTCGCCGACTCTTTCCCCCTGCACAGTGAGGTGCCGCCCGAGGGCAGCAAGCAGTCTGCAGGGATAATTTGGGGTATTCAGCGGTACTCAATGTTTTACGGGTGCGGAAAAAGCGCAAGGTGCTAGCGAAGTTCTGGGGAGACATAATGAAGTCCAGCCCCTCCCTCAATCAGTAGATGCTCAATAAACGTTGCCTGGGTGGCTGAGCATTTAAACACCTAGAGGAGCCTGGCCAGCATGGCTCAGTGGTTGAGCATCAACCTGTGAACCGGGAGGTCAGGGTTCGATTCTTGGTCAGGGCACATGCCCGGGTTGCAGGCTCGATGCCCAGCAGGGGGCGTGCAGGAGGCAGCCGATCAATGACTCATCACTGATGCTTCTATCTGTCCCTCTCCCTTCCTCCCTCTGAAAGAAAGAAATAAAAACATTAAAAAAACCACAGACTCCTAGATGAGCAGGGGCAGGAGCAGCAGCAGCAGGACCGCAGGGAAGAGCATTGTAAGCGGCACAGAAGAGGTCAGACAGGAGCAAGGGGAAGGCACATGGGAGTGGAGATACGATTGGTGAGCGCCACGGTCAGAGGTGTGCGCTGGTTAGACTGGTCTGGGGGCTGGAAGGCCTCCAAGGAGGCGTCTGCGTTTCAGGGGATGGAAAGGCAGATGCGAGACATCTGGGGACAGAAACTGGGGTGGTTGGGTGGGAAAGGTAAAAAAAGGTAAAAATGAGGTTTCAGGTTGGGGCGAGGAGGAAGGTGGTATGGGGGAGGCAGGGGCAGGAATCTGGAAGTCAGGAACAGTTTGCCAGGAAGGAACCTTGGTGACTTAGGTTGGGGGCTCAGTGTCTCTTCCAACTCTGCCCTGGGTTTCCCCTGAGGAAGGAAGGGGTCAGGGAGGTGGAGGCCAAAGAGGTCGTCGGAGCGAAGGGCCACCAGTAAGCCAGCCGCCCCAGAGGCTGTGTCTCTTGCTGCTGCAGAGGCCACTCCAATGCCACGTGCTTGCCAAGGCAGTTGGCAAATCCCAGGGCTGTCAGGGCCCCAGATCACCACTTCTTGCCCTGTCTTGGGGAAGATTACAAGTGTGGATATTCCCCACTCAGCAAAGGCCTCTCCGCCCCCAGGAACAGTTAGTCCCGTCTTAGTTCAGCGGGCTCTGGAGATCCTGCCCCCTCCCCTGCCAGGGCCAGGGCCAGGGCCAGGGCCAGGGCCAGGGCCAGGGCCAGGGCCAGGTTGGCGGGGGAGGGGTTGACCCTGCCGCCTGAGAGGGTCAGCGGCCTGTGCTGCCTTGAGGAGCTCTGTGCCTGTTCCTCCCCAGCCCTCCAGCCTCCACCCTGGGCTTAGCTGTGTGCATTAGGACAAGGCTGGGAGGTAAGATGATCCCCATGGGTCTCTGGGGGGCTTAAGAAACAGATGGTCCCCACACAGGAGGTTTGCTGTTGGTAACCTGAGCGGATCTGGGGAGGGAGCTGGCGGGACCCAGGCAGCTTGGGCTCGGGGACTGGAACCTCATGAATGTTATCAGACCAAGCATCCCCTGCCCAGCCTCCAAACTCGGCCCTCACCCAAGTCAATCTCTCAGCCCTTTCCAGCTGGCACCTGGGACTCGGGCTTTGGACACCCACAAAGGGGCTGGGGAACTGGCCCCCAGTGTCCCCACTCTTGGCTGGGGCGGCAGCGCCAAGTGGGCCAAGAAGGCAGGAAGGGCACTGGAGCCAAGTCCAAGAGCAGCTGGGAGACGACAGGTGTTCAGAGGACTGGGAAGAGCTGGGCAAGGGTTTCCCCAAACAGGAGCTTCCTGGCCTCCTGGTCTCCCCCCTGACCAGCCAGATGTGAAGAGCAGCGAAAGGAAGCCCCAGCCTACCCTTCTCAGGGGGCGCCTGAGCTCCTCCTTTCCCTGTGGAGCGCGGAGCAGCCTTCGAGCCCAGCGCCTCCGCCGGCGTCCCCAGTGCTCCGTAGCGAGGACTGTGGCGTTGGGGGAGAGATGCGCCGCGTTTGAGTCCAGCCCTGGGACCTCGGGAGAGTTACTTCACCACCCCCCCCCCAGGCTAACTCATTTGTTCAGATGAGAACAGTGATATAGAAAGACGAAAGGAGAGGATGCCTGTAGAGTCCTCAGCACCATTCCTGTTACATAGTTAATACAAAGTATTCTTGTCCCTGTCGTGTCACCGTCGTCATCTCAGGGAGGCTCAGAGGAGGGGGAGGGAAGGACGGAGGCGTTTTGTCCAGGGCACGACACCGCACACCCCGCCCTGGTCTCCGCCCACCCTTACTGTGTAACCTTGAGCAAGTCACTTCTGTGCCTCAGTCTCCTCGTCTGTAAAATGGGAACGACACTAGTCGTTCCCTCACAGAGTCCTCGGGGGGTTAAATAGTGCTTCTGTACACACACCCGTGGAGTGAAGGGCGGCACCCGCTGCAGCAGGCAGCTGCCATGAATGTTAGTCCTCTTTGCAGCCACCCGGTGCCAACGTCCCTCCTCTCCCGGCTCTGGCCTGCGCTAGGTTGTACAGATGGGGGGCCGAGGCAGCTGGAATGACACTGGAGGTGTGTGTGCAGGGAGGGGGCCAGGTTCAGGGCCAGCGAGGGGCAGCCTTCCTCGGCCCCCTGGCTCACTGGCCCTGTCTTCTCTCTCCGCAGATGTCCATGAAGGAAGTGGGCGATGGGCTGCAGGACCAGATGAACTCCATGATGGGGGCGCTGCAGGAGCTGAAGCTCCTCCAGGTGCAGACGGCCCTGGAACAGCTGGACATCTCAGGGGGCAGTGTGGCCCCCGGCTGCCCTGAAAGCCCCCGGACACAGCTGGAGCCCCCGCCCTGGGAGGGCGGCAGAGGTCCTGCCAGGCCTGCTGTCCCGTCCCCCTCCAGCCAACCTTCTCATGGGAGCAGCACCAGGTGTCCGTCCCATCGGAGTGTGTGTGGGAGGGATCCAGCCCTCGGACCCAGGACCCAGCCCTCAGAGCACCAAGGCTGCGCCCCGCAGAGGCCAGAGCTGGTGGAGGCAGACGACTGGACCTCCACGTTGATGTCCCGGGGCCGGAATCGCCAGCCTCTGGTGTTGGGTGACAACGTTTTCGCAGACCTGGTGGGCAACTGGCTGGACTTGCCGGAACTGGAGAAGGCCGGGGAGGCGGGGGCGCCCCGCGCGGAGAGGGCGCCGCCCCGGGAGCTGGGCCGCAGGTTCGCGCTCACCGCCAACATCTTCAGGAAGTTCCTGCGGAGCGTGCGGCCCGACCGCGACCGGCTGCTGAAGGAGAAGCCAGGCTGGGTGACGCCCGCGGCCTCGGAGCCCCGAGCCGCGCGCTCGCACAAGGTCAAGAAGCGGGGCCATTCCAAGGGCTCGGGACGGCTCCCCTTTCCGGGCGCGGGGGAGCCCAGGCGAGCCGAAGCCACTTCCCCGGGCTGCCCCAAGGCCCTGGACACCCCGCCCTCCGGCTTTGACATCAACACGGCTGTGTGGGTCTGAACCCAGGGGACCGAAAGCGGACTGGACCCCCGGGGCCATCCTGGTGCGGGTCCTGGGCGGGAGGGCAGCGGCTGGCCCGGCTTTCAAACACGACTCCAGGCTCCTTTTCCCAGAGAGGAGGGAGAGGAGGCACAGTGTCTGGAGCGGGACAGGCGCCTGTGGTTGGGAGAGGCTGTGACCCGCTGGCTGGCTGGGGAGGCCAGTGTGCGTGTGTGTGTGTCTGTGTGCACGCATGGGCTCACACTGCTCACTCTGGGGTGGAGGTGACAGCAGGGGGTGTTGGGGGAGGAGACCAGGAAATCCTGACTTCCTCACTGCCCCCCAAAGACCTCAGTGGAACATTCTGTATGGATCAGGGTGCCTGGCCTCAGGTTCCCCAGAGAGGCCCCCAATAAAGACCTCGTCTCTCCCGTCCCCATAACTGTTTGCTTCCCCAGCAAAGCACTGCTGCAGGCACAGGAATTAAACCCCGGCCCTCCTGGGAGAGGAGCAGCAGAGAGACAAATCCCCACCCCACCTGTTCCTGCTGCCTTGAGATTTCAGCGGGTACTGGATCCTGAAAAATGGCTGGATAAGTAAAGGCATAAGGGATACTTGGGGAGGCCCCTTGTCTTCCAAAGGCACAGGGACGATACTATAGCACCGGGAAGCATTGGAAAGCCTTTTCATATCCATTATTCCCTTGGTAAGTGAGCAAGTAGGAAGGTGGTATCCCCACTGTCCAGAGGAGGCGCTATCTGTCCAAGAACACACCGGTGGCAGGTCCAGGACTGGCTGAGAGCAGCTGGCCCTGCAGTCACGCACTCGCCTCCCCAACACCCTGTCGCAGGCCCGGAGCCCCCACCCAGGACACAAGGGCTTGTAAAGTCTCCAGTAAGGCCAAGGTGTGCCCAGATGACACAAGCCCTCAGTGTCAAACTCCTAGCTCCATCCCTGGCCTCACTCTGCTGCCGCATGGTCAACAGCCTCATCTTCCCACCTGACCCAGAACCACCCCGGTGGGGAGGGCCCCAGGCAGCAGCTCAGCTCCTGCAGCCTGGTGGTGGCTGTGGTGGCGTGTGGCCCAAGAGCAAAGCCACCCCAGGCAGCCACCAGACCGCCTACTCTGGCACCGAGAGCCCGCAGGCTGGGAACAGACAATGCACGTCCCCGTTTGGGCCGAGCCAGCCTCGGAGGGCACACCCTCTCTCCTCCCCTCGCCCCTCCCGCTTGGTCAGCTCTCAGCCTGATGGGATGTGACAGCTGCAATTAGAGGCAGGACGCCTTCCTGCCCTCAGAGCATTAAGAGCAAATTGGAGAAGAAAAGTAACAAGAAAGGCTCTTCCTGGGCCCCCTGGAGGAGGTGGGGTGGGGCTTGGCGTGAGCAGCTCCCTAGTTCTAGTTGTGGCTAGGTTAGGGTCACTTCCAAATTCCCACGCAATCAGATGGTAGGTGTGTAGTTTGGGGTGGCGGAAGCTACAAGAGGAAAGGCTATATATGTATTTATTTTAATTTTTTTTTGAGAGCTCCCTATTTGCCGGGCAGTATGCACATGTCCTTGGAGCTTCAGAATGCCCCCAGGGGGTACTGTCACCCTCTGAGGACTGGAAGCAGAAGGTCGTCTGGCTCTGAGACTGTCTTTTCCACTCTCCCTGGTGTTTGCCAACGAAGCTCGCCCTTCAGGGAGGAGCCTGCCCTGCCTGCCCTGGGTCTCCCCCCAAACTCGGGTATTTTAGTCTTGGGGGAAGGCCCATTGGCTGTGGCTGAATTCGGTGGTGGCGGTGATGTGTGTGTGTGTAGAATGTGTGAGTGCGAAGATTCCACTTCCTAGCTCCCTGAGTCCTGAGAGGAGAAGCCATCCAGCAAATTCTTCAAGAAGGCGCCAGCACCAATCAGGAACGATTCTGCAGGAAACCAAGCCACCTCTTGGCTATTCACCCGTGACGCCTCTGTTTTGTGGACCCATCGCAGCAACTCAGACCAATCGAACAAAACTTTATGAACATCTCCCAAAGGCAAGCATCGCGGTAGAAACTAAGAACAAGCAATGGAAAGGACCCAGTTCCTGACTCGCGGGGAGCCCAGTGGGAAGAAAGAAGCAATGGCAACCCACTGGTTAGCCAGGAGGATTTGAGGGAATGAAACCTGTTTTAATTTGGGCGGGAACAAAACAATCAGGAGTGACTTTGCTGCGACATCACTGATGGGTGTCAGGCACCTTCGTGTTCCCATTTCCTTCCCACCTCGCTCTGGAAGTGGCCGCTGTTACTCTTTCACAGGGAGAGGCTCAGAGAAGTTAACTGGCCCAGGGTCGCAGTGGCGGAGCTCCAACCCGAAACAGCCCAGCCTTGTGCTCCTCACACGACCCCACAGGCTGTCCACATCTGCCCCAAGGCCAAGTCAAGGGGAACAACACCCAAACCTGTCCTCACAGGACCCAGGCGTGGACAGTGAATGGACCGCTGACCTCGCTGGGGAAATCTGCCCGGGTCTTGATGGGGCTGATGTAATTGATGCCTCCTCACCATGTCATGCTTTGCTAATGAAAGCTTATGGCCCATTCATTTACCCTCCATCATTTTTCCTTTCCCCTCCCCCTCTGGGCTCCTGCTGTGCCTGCGACCCTGATGGAGACTGTGTTTACTGAAGCTGGGGGAAGGAGGCATTGTGAGGGCCAGGAGAGTGTAGGGGTGGGGAGCTGTGTGATTAAGGGGTAGAGGTAGTGGAAGTAAGCAGTGAGAAACTGACAGCTTAATTCTGCCCCTGGGGCTCATTTTATGGTTAATTAGGACATGCAAATAAGCTGGAAGCTCATTTAATACCCTCCCTGGCATGGGGCTCTGCCTCACACCTGGCTTGCTTCCCTGGCAGGTACAGGGCCCCACTGATCGGCTCAGGCATCTGCTCGGGGCCCCACCTGCTTTGTGGCCCTGTGGCCAGAGTCTGTGCCTATCTGTGCCCCTGACCAATAAGCAGGAGCTGGAAGAGGCCCTGCTGGGTATGGCCAGGCCTGCCTGGTCCCCCTCCTGCCTATCTCTTTCCAACCCTTCACACCCAGGACCCCTCTGCCCTCAAGCACTTCCCCTGCACCCGCCCCTCAGGTTGAGATCTGGACCCCAACTTGCCCTGAGGAATAGAGACCTACCTGGTTCAGCTCTGTCCCCACCCCATGCCCCTGCCCCCCGGCACCCTGCAGGGGAGGGGCTCCTCTGTCTTCCCCAAGTCACAGGAACATTTCCTACAGGGCCCCATAAAAGCCAAAGCACAGCCTGTCCCTCTGGGGAGCAGGGGCCTGTATCCTCAGGTGACTTCCCCACCAGGGCTCCTAAGGTCCTCCTGCCGGTGCCACGGCCTGAGCACTGGATCTGGAGTTGGACAGACAGAACGCGAGACCCCCGCCCCTGCGTGAGCCCGAGCATGTGGCTGGACCTCCAGGAGCTTTGTTGTTTTCGTTGGTGGAACAGGGATGGTGCGGGGCTGCCATGAGATTTAAAGTACAAGATGTGCCCATGGGTTAAACACACCATCTGTATATATTGAGCGGAATGTATCGGACTCCCTGACCTTCAGCTCAGGCGCTAACCACGGGACCTGAGGCAAAAATGCTAAAAAAAAAGCTTTCTCTGAGCCTTGTTAAAAAATGTATACTGGCTCTATTACCTCACAGGATGTAGCCAGGATCAGAGAAGACAATAGGTGTGGACGTGTTTTTGTATAGTGTAAAAATATTACCCGTTTACAGTTTTCCATGGAAGGATGGTGTGTGGGGTGGGGGTGGCCGCCGCTTGGGCTGCGCTCAGAAATGGGCTTGAGGACCCCACTGCCTGAGGATGGGCTCTGGGGAGCACCCCACCCTCCTGAGCCCAGCTCTCCCTCCCGGTCAGCCCTCGGTCAGCCCTCGGGCCCTGGGCCCTCACATTCCTGGCAAGGACTAGAGTTGAATGAGCCAAGTCCTGATGGTTTTGAGAGGAGTCAGGCCTCTGCTCTAAGGCCTCAGGGGCTGGAGTCTCTGCCAGGCTAGTCTTTCCCTCCCCAGCCCCAGCCTCCCTGGGGACCGATGGCCTAAGGGGCTTGTGGCTGTCCTCCTGGAATCCACTCCAAGGGAGGGGATGCCAGGCTAGTGGAGGGAGGCACCCGGGAAGCCTGCCCCCCATGACAGGTCTCAGGGCTCTGGCTGTGCTGCCAGAGGAAGGGCCATGGGCTAGAAGAGCCTAGAAGATCCTGGGCTAACCCTCACCCTCACCTTCACCCTCACCCTGACCCTAAAGGGCAGGGGCGGAGCCTCAGCCTGCAGTCCCCCACTTGGCACTACTATGAGCTGCCCCTGCCTCTCTCTTGCCTCCCCTAGCCGGTCCCTGGGGCAAACAGGGTGAAACCTCTCCTCCAGATTCCCTCTGAACCTGACGGACTGACTTCCTGCCCCTGTCCCTGTGCCTTCAATCCGTCCCCACCTACCCCTCTACCCGCCACCTCCAGGCCCAGATACACCCCCCACTTCTGGCCCAAACACGCACGCACACACACACGCACACAAGCCTCACAATGAAGTCAGCCCTGCCAAGGTCCCGAACCCCCGGGCCCTGGATGGAGAAGGCAGCGGGATCCCCGGCTCCAGGTCTCAGGCCACAGATGCCACGTGCCGTGGGTTCCACTCCACAGAAGCCATTCCCTCGATATCCCCTCTGAGCACATCTGCCCCGTTCCAGGGACACAGGACTCACCGGCCAAAATTATCACCTGGTGTTCTGTCCACCTGCCCTTCGCCCTCTGCCCGCCACGCCCAGCTCTGGGCTGTCCACCTGCCCCTTTGTGCCCCTCGTTTCCTCCACCTGGCACAGCAGATGCCGCCCGCCCCCAGCCTGAGGCACCTCTGGGCCGTTGCTATGGGGGGGATGTGTCCCCATCTGAGGGAAGAATCGGGTTTTGTTTCCTTGTTCCCCGCTCTGCACATGTCACCCCCCTCCGGGCCTCCCTCAGCCCTTCCTCCTCTGCTCTCCCTGACCCGAGGCCCCAGCCCGCAGCTGCGAGGAAGTGCCACCAGGTCTGGGGACAGAGGCAGTGAAGGAAACATCTGAGATCCTGTGACCTCATCCTCCGCATTTGCCTGTCTTC